AGACTCAGATTCATTCACCCACATATCTTGATGGAACATGTTACTCACACGGTTGCTGAAAACACACCGGCAGCACGTTTCTTTAGGAAAATATACTGTAGTATCTCCAATATCGTACCACCAGAAACATCAGGCGAGCTTTATGGGCTATATTTAGTTGAGGAACATAACGGGAGAGGTTCAGCTACAATTCAGATGAGTCTCTTGTTGACGCCAAAAAAGTTGTAAGTGAGCATATTTCAGCAATAATTCATTCTTGTTCTTAAACGGAGGATTAGCCATTGGTAAAGGAGCATTTGCAGTTTGGCCCCGACTACTTGAACTTTGGTGTCATAGCGACAGTTCCATTCCGCACCCAGTTGTCCCCAGTCACCATAGTTCTTGGTCGCTCGAACTAAGTAGAACTTCTCAAAAAGCTGCCTTGGTCGCTCGAACTAAGTAGAACTTCTCCCAAGGCGTAATACACTACTCAAAAGGCTGCTGAGAATTCTTCGACAGCACACGACCGGTTTCGCTGTTCTTGGGGATCACCAGGTAGCCGCAGTCCCCGAGTTTCCATCTACCTTATGTTCTACTTTAACCCAAATAGCACGAAATTACCGAAACACTCGTTTGCAAACGAATTCGGTTTTCCGGGAGACTCACATGAACCCAGATGTATCTCTCGTTTGTAATGTTTTTGTTCATTTTTAAGGCAGTACAAACGAGAGATTCAGCTGGGTTCCAGGCGAGTCTCCCGAAAAACCAAGTTTGTTTGCAAATGAGTGTATATTCGCTAATTTCGTGCGATTTGAGTTCAAGTAGAACATAAGTTTGACGGAAACGCGGGGCCTGCGCCAACCTGATGAGCCCCAAGGAGGGCGAAACCGGTTGTGGGCTATCGAAGAATTTTCAGCAACCTTATGAGTAGTGTACTATGCCTATATATGTATCACAATATCTCGAATGTCGTGCCAACTGAGACATGACGCGGCCTGGTGCAGCACATTCAAAGGCTAGAAAACATAGCAAATGAGAGGTTCAGTTGGGTTCCAGGTCTCCCAAGAAAAAAATCTTGTTTGCAAATGAGCGTATTTCGCTAGAACTTCTCTCGTTTCTCAACTGAAATAGTCCTTGTCGGTCCGGGTGAAAAATATTTCACACTCCGAGAACTCTGTAAGACACTAATTTGTTCTAGTTTTACCATTCTCACGAGAAATTAGCCGGGAATTAGTATTATTACTATTATTATTATTGCAGTGTTCCAAATGCGATATCAACCAACCACATAAGTGTTTACGTTTTCCCTCTGGAATATATATATTTCCTTTTCTTTAAAGTATCACGACTTTTGTGGAACAACGTTTAGACACCTGGTAGTTTTGCAACTAGATTCTAGCCAAGTACGACGGCCTGCTAAAGTTGAGGTCTGGAATGACCGACAATGAACTATCCGGGATTTGATGGATTACAGTCCAACTCCTGCCAAAATCGAAAAAATCGCTCAACTGTAACACCCTTCCGGTGCCTAGCTGCCATGCCACCCGAAGGAAGCATGAGAACTGGGATACTGCCAGGTTGCCCAAGCCTAGAGAGGAGAAATCGAGATGAAGAAGTTGGGTTCGGACCACGGACCTTCCGGTCAGTGAATTCACGCTCTAACCAATGAGCCATCTCATCCTGCCACTCCTGCCGGTCATGTATTAAATCATTGTACCATCGGGTTTTGGGATCGATGTGAGAAATGTACACTTAAGCATCTGAATGAAGAGCGATAAGACCAAGTCAATGGAAACCCGGTGATCCAGTCACATTAGCATGAAGCAGAGCTGAGTCGAACAGGACATTTGGTTAGGTGTGGTAGGGGCGCATAACGTTGATTCTAAGCAATCCCGTAGCAGCCGCTTCCGCTACCTGATGAGCCCCAAGGAGGGCGAAACCGGTTGTGGGCTATCGAAGAATTTTCAGCAACCTTATGAGTAGTGTACTATGCCTATATATGTATCACAATATCTCGAATGTCGTGCCAACTGAGACATGACGCGGCCTGGTGCAGCACATTCAAAGGCTAGAAAACATAGCAAATGAGAGGTTCAGTTGGGTTCCAGGTCTCCCAAGAAAAAAATCTTGTTTGCAAATGAGCGTATTTCGCTAGAACTTCTCTCGTTTCTCAACTGAAATAGTCCTTGTCGGTCCGGGTGAAAAATATTTCACACTCCGAGAACTCTGTAAGACACTAATTTGTTCTAGTTTTACAATTCTCACTAGAAATTAGCCGGGAATTAGTATTATTACTATTATTATTGCAGTGTTCTAAATGCGATATCAACCAACCACATAAGTGTTTACGTTTTCCCTCTGGAATATATATATTTCCTTTTCTTTAAAGTATCACGACTTTTGTGGAACAACGTTTAGACACCTGGTAGTTTTGCAACTAGATTCTAGCCAAGTACGACGGCCTGCTAAAGTTGAGGTCTGGAATGACCGACAATGAACTATCCGGGATTTGATGGATTACAGTCCAACTCCTGCCAAAAAAATCGCTCAACTGTAACAGCCTTCTGATGCCTAGCTGCCATGCCACCCGAAGGAAGCACGAGAACTGGAATACTGCCAGGTTGCCCAAGCCTAGAAAGGAGAAATCGAGATGAAGAAGTTGGGTTCGGACCACGGACCTTCCGGTCAGGGAATTCACGCTCTAACCAATGAGCCATCTCATCCTGCCACTCCTGCCGGTCATGTATTAAATCATTGTACCATCGGGTTTTGGGATCGATGTGAGAAATGTACACTTAAGCATCTGAATGAAGAGCGATAAGACCAAGTCAATGGAAACCCGGTGATCCAGTCACATTAGCATGAAGCAGAGCTGAGTCGAACAGGACATTTGGTTAGGTGTGGTAGGGGCGCATAACGTTGATTCTAAGCAATCCCGTAGCAGCCGCTTCCGCTGCTTTGCATCGACGAACCGTAAAGCGACATTGAAAACTAGGTTTCCTAATGAAGACATAAGCAAGTAAAATAAACAGTCGTGGTAAAAAGGCTTGTACGTACATGAAAAAAAGGTTTTTAAGAGGTACGATGATTTGGTGGACACATTCCTTGTGTATGTGAGATCTATTCGTACTGGTTTAAGCTGATGATATGCCTCTATGTCGTTGCAATATGGTACTGGGATGAAAGAAGGTAGGGGACAAGGTTGAGCGATGTTATCTTGGTTCAGCATCAGAAGAACATCAGTCTTGGACACTATCAACAGAGTGCAGGGTCGGTATAGGCTATGAAATGGCTATGAGTTCCATTCAGTTGGAGAAGTGGTTGTAATTTTAGTCAAACTGTGATAGGCTAACTTCTAACCAATGTAAAGCATTAGGAACAGGGTTAACCAATAGTTTTTGACAAAGCAGTTCTTCAAAATCGTTCTCCATATTCATTCGTAAACTCATGCAAATGAAATGCACATTACAATGGTGAACACATGACCAAATAAATAACTCGGGCATCGTAAGAGCGTCTAAAATAAATCAGTGTAAATGCTTCGTACGTAATGGAAGCTGTTAAATACGTCATGCAAAGTCTATCCGTAGATAAAATCGAAAACTTTTTCAAAGAGTGACCTCTATTGAGAATAAGAGGTCAAGGGCTGGAGACCAGTATTAGACAAAAATCTCCGTGGGGGATTGTTGGGCTTATTGAGTACGGTCACAATGTAAAAAGAGGTACCTTTCCCTGGTAGAACGGTTTCGAAAGGGAAGTAACGTGATGCCGTTCACCATTCTAACAGGACCATTTTCTTGGGATTAGCAACCAGGTATGACATAAGGACGTAATATGTAATCACTGAGATTGTCACATGACTTCAGCTTGCTGAATTAGATCGCCTGGTTTGTTGACTACTTGAATGATGGAACGATTTGCACACAAATGATTGCGCCTAAGAAATCAACCAAGCTGCTCGGTTCGCCACACAGTCACCATGAGTCAGGACCGAAGTGGGCACAGTTATTTGGGTTGAAAACAGACCTTTAGGCTGGATTCACAAGAGCGGTCAGAACCGTGGAAAACTGTAGGATTACCTCCACCTATTATCTTCAAGCTTGTTCACAAAGGTTCCATACAACACCGGGACGTCTCGTACGGAAAGCGCATTATTTCGCCATGGGTAAGGTATACAATGTTGGCATAATAACTGCAGTTTACTCTCATTATAACGTTACCTCATGTTTCTCGAAGCAGGCGATGACGGTATAACGAGAACGGACATATCAGGATCATCGACAGCATAACATTAATGCTCAACACCGATGCGTCGCCGCCCTACAACCATTATTCGAAGGCTTCATTGTAAAGAAAAGAACAAAAGTGGACGAGGAAGGGACTTAGTGCTGGCCTATTAAATTTTGTCCAAGATTATTCATTAAGGTGATGATGATGGAATCCGGAATTATATTGGTAGCAGATGTTAACCCACATACTTTCGTCACCACGTGGAGTGATACCGTCAGTGTGCAGTTGAGTGGGTATATCCGCCAATTCTGCTTGCGGTTATATAGTTTCCAGAGGGTAACAAGTAAGTGTAACGTGATTGATCGATTGAGGATCAGCCCATACGTAATCTGACTGGTCGGTTTAAAATGAACACGATTTGAGAGACATGAAAACTAGCGGGTCCCCAATTGATGGGAATATACATTATCTAGGAACCTGGTTATCTTCATAACAACCAGAATATGGTTTCTAATAAAACAAGCACAATCAAACACCTGCTCCTGAAGTAGGGTTAGGAACCACACGAATGAGGAATTTCCGATACCATGAGAAAAATTTGACAGTAATTCGGAAAATTGCAGACCAAATCCGTCTCTCCTGACTATGTGAGAGGGAACATGCACCAGTCAACCTTGATTACATATTTCTCACATGACTTACCCGAGACAGTGTACACAACAGCAATACAACAAGTGCATCGCCGGACACGAGGAATAGGTGGACTTTGCTTAGAAGTTAGTCCGACCAACTTAGACTGGAAAATGAACTCCAGCTGCCCCAACGACCCATGCCCCAGCCCCCACCCCAACCTCCACCCCAGGGCCGACACCACCCTCCGCCGCCAAAAACTTTGCTCGCCAGATATCCACCGGCCAATCCGGATGCAAGACCTATTAGGACAGATAAAAATGCATCAGAGTAAGTTAACCCGGACACGAGTGACAATTTGGTACGCTATGTGAGCAATCCATTGAACTATTTGCCAAGAAATGCATACAGGTTGTCAACCACCACATGACAATTGATTGAGTGCTCGCGCGCCGATAAGTGGCACGGTAGGAAAGTACATCCCGCGTGACTGTCCACTGAGCTCTTGATACTTTCTTGTTAAGTGAGTTATAAAATTCCGTCCTTGGGTCATGCCGAAGGATGCCCAACATGTGCTTCGAACGACCTAGGATCATCCTACTCAATAGCACTGCGCAGCCCAACGCGCCGATACGATCATGAATCGTTCGTTCAACATCTAATGTGCAAATTAGCATGATTGACCAATAGTGCACGAGTTGAGACCAAGCAATACATCAAGGTATCAGGATGGAGACAATTGAACCGGCCCCAGGAGAAAAACGGTCTGTGCGCCGATGAACTGGTAAGAGCTACCATCGAGGTGGCAGATGTATCATTAAAAATTTATAGACGAGTTCTGAGTTTATGATGTGGGTAACCTATTGTGCCCATATCTATGGTTTGCTTAAGGCTGTATCGGTTAGGTTGCCGGCTGAAACTTACATTTTAAACAACTGGAAAACAAGACAAGCAAGCGCAGCTTGACTTTATACACAACAATCGATGTCAGATCAAGTTCTGAAAGTTTCAAGGAAGGCAATGTGATAAAAGGCCTTTGGCGAAGGGCCTAAGCAAATGACCAAATATCGCTGAAATCCGAGTACGAACGCGCCATCCACATGCATGTCCAGCGGTTTTGTGCAGCTTTGCTACCCCGCAGCGTACCGCTGTATAGAATACATAAATTCTTTCAATTCAGCACAGACCGAGTGGTAATAGGGTTGGGCATCTATCACTGTTAACGAAAAATGTCTACGTTCAATCAGAGTAGGGCGAACAGAGGGAACTACCGTTTCGAAACCCTACTTCGACCCCCAAATGGGTTGCGGGCTGCCGTCTCTAAGCGAGCTGCTTGATAAATGAGAGACGTAAAAAGAAACTTTATTTAGTCAAAACAAGGGTTATGTTGAAAGATATTCTGGCGGAACATCGAAAACAAGGACCCGAAAAACAAACTACATCTCAATGTGCATGTCTGAGCACAGACGACCCATGTAGCAAAGTGGACAACGAAAACAAAAACGGTTCCGTTTTATCTAAACGTGTTAGGCAGGAATCCACGCGGATCCCACTATACCGCACGTCTTTAGGAGCTGCTACGGCCGAGAAGCCTGGCCCGCTCGAGGTTGGCCCAAAATTCGGGACGCTTGCCGGTCCGGCATCAAGACGAGATCTGATTGGTCAACAATCTGGAACCAACGGCCAATCATGACCCAGTATTGGCCAAATGCCGGTTGCCAATGGCGCTCCAGAACGCGTCAGAAATTCCAGAAAGTTATAGCCGCTTACGCCATATATACGAAGCGCTGTACAACTGTTCCTGATTTCGTTTTGGGCGTTAATAGACCTTGTGCACCTTTGGTGGTTGTTTTGACGTGAACGCTAGCTTGGGAGGCTCAGACCGAGAACTAAGATAAGGAAAATACCGTTACTACAAAACGCTTGTAGGCCAACTTATGAAATACAAGACAAGATGCCATTCTGTAATAACTAGGCTTCTTTCTATTTCAGAAGCTATTAGCATTTGTACTTTTCGGCCCAAACTTGGTGTACACAAACGTTTCGGCCAGACGTTCAGTCTCACATGGCCGAATCACCCGTGTGGGCTTCACGAGACTCGCTGACTCATACCAGTTTAAACAAAAGGAACACAGGATCTCGCAAGCTTTGATGCACAGCATTCAAGTCGAGGACCTTTTTACCATCACCAATATTGAGCATTTCGGTAGATTTTATGATGCCCTCCAGCCTATTCGCCTACTTGTGTCCTCTGAATGTGAAAACGTATCCAGTCCACTTACATGGACGTACTTGCATTGGCGGTCCACGCAACGCCCAATTTTTCGCAGTTCGACACGCAGCGGTCAATATCTTCATTCCTTCAGCTTTTTACCGATTTACACAAACGGTTGTTAACAAACTATTCCGTAGAATAAAAAGAATCTACAGCTAAGTCTATTTGAGTGAGAAACACTGTCAGTGTACGACTATCCAGAGCGTCTTTTCTAAATATAAGGTACTTTTAAACTTCAGACATTCATGAAGTTGTAAAGGAAAAATAAGCCCATAGCTTGTGATGGCAGGAAAAAACAACTATGAACTTAAAACAAGTCTAGCGAGCCACACAAAACTAAGTTTGGCTCGAATTATTGAGGGAATCGTTCCGGGACAGCGTAACTGTGGTTCATCAGACGTATCCACCACCAACGTAATCTACCAGTTCTCTTGCGTTTGTGGTAGAAGCGACATCAGTAGAATAGACAAACGTCCACCGGAGTGCCTCGCGCAACACACATACGGTACGCACAGCTCCAAAAAGTCGGAGTGGAATGTGACGCAGCATCATCAATAGTGGAGAACCCGCTGTAAACTAGTCACCAACTGGATCCGAAGGACTCATTTCCTGTGCTGCTGCTGTGAGCTACTCATTAGCTCTCACCATCCAAGAGCGTGCACAAAGAAAACTTTGAAGCAAAATATCTAGCTCACATGGTTTTGACCAGATGAATTTACTCAACTGTTAAGTGTGTACTGGTTCTACATTGTTGCTGAAGGCTGGATTAGAACCCTCGAGGATGGGAAAAGCAAAAGACATGTAACAACAAAAGTTTGCCAGTGTTCACTAAATGGAATTTATCAGTTTACCAAAAACTGGAGGCTTGTTAAACGGGTGTCATAGAGTTAACCCGATTGTACCGCCATATTGATCGATTTCGGAATTTGTACCTTACCATTTTTAAGAGTGCACACATGTGAGACTAGTGGAGGACCAAAGTTCGACGAGAGAAAACTCACCAACGGCTGCATTCTTCAAAAGCTTTTTCTTTTTAGGTTTGCCTCCCACGTAAACAACTTCGTAGGGCTGACCGTTAGACCCGACAAACTGCTGACCGGCAGAGGGCGGCGTGTAGTAGCTTGTCTGTCCCGGAGGTGGCGGAGGTTGGCGAGGATAAGCTCCGCCACCTCCATACGTAGCTGCTGGCGCAAGCGGTACCTGCGGCTGACAATATGACCCGGTAGGGTAGTTGTAAGCTGGGCCTGAGTTATATCCAGGCTGTTGCTGGTAAGAGCCGTATGCCGGAGCTTGAGGTTGTGGACTGTACTGGGGAGGGGCATCTGCGAATCCTGTACAACAGATTTTGAAAGCACATGGAGAGAAAACTGAGGTAGAAAGGCGGTCAATTAGATGAAGAATCAACCGGAAGTGTATACTAGTCATTGTTTACCCCATGAGTAATTCTGTAAGTCAGTAGTTGACATTCGTGAAGTGGTTTGAAACAAAAGGCAAGGCAAACAAGGATCACAAGATCGTAGTGGGGGCAGTCTCGTGACATGGTAAGCTGTTCAGTCATGTGAACCACCGTAGGAGGAGTTTGATCTTCTTGAATGATTTCATTCGCTACGCAGTGGATCACCAGTGCTGAGGCGCACTGATTAATTTTCAAACAAGGCAAGCTATCCACGACAAATGTGCTGGGCGGCTTTCCTCTTCACGGTTATTTAGGTACCCTAGCTCACATCACCGCGAAATGTCCAGACCGGATGTCCCGATTGGACGGAGGCAAGCGGTACGGAACACAGCGATGTAAGGAAACAGAGACAGACACAGGTCAACCGAGTAATAACAAAATTCGAATTAGGAAGTACATCCTCAGATCCGTCCGTACTTGCTTCACCATCGACACCAACCCCGAAATACTGCATACCATCGCTTCCTATGCACAGCTGAAGCCACGTTGCCTTAGGGCCGATGAACTTAACGACTTAAGACCCTCGCCGTTGTGTTACATGACAAAACAACGAAGTACTTGATGTACTCGAATGTATACCGGTCCCAAAGTTCCGCTGTCCGCGGTGGTGGTGTGCAAAGGCACGTACATACCTAATTCGTTGTAAACTCAACGAAAGTTTTGGCGGACTTAGGAAGATGAACACAGATTTGCACGACGCAGTTCGTATTCCAGGTTGAAAGAAAACTAAAACCGGCAACACGAGGTTGCAGTTAAGTTGGCTATAATTTTAGTCGTACGGAAGAAAAGTGTCAGGAAGGTCAGATTTCTGAAAATAACCCGAGTGCCCAAAACCTACTGAGACCCTCAAACCACCAAAATCAAAATAGGAAGGCCGGCCAGCATTCAGGCCAGTCGATCAATAGATCAATTTACCAACACCATGGATCACTGAAAGGTGCCACTCAAATAGCAAGGTCCCTTGTAGCTGTTGCATCCTCTTGTTCGCAATAAAGCTTTGTGTTCCTTTTTAGCGAGTGTTTTTCCGGCACCAAATCATTGAAGAGGGGGCAGCAATAGCTATAAGAGATTGGCGACCTCCGAACCCACGGAAGGATGAAAATAATTGCCGAAGCATTGAAGGGAATTCCACTGCAACAACAAAACCAGTTTGAAGCGGTACAAGTGCGTTCCGTGGAAGCTTTGACGCAGCAGCTCACAATCCAACCACCAAATTCCTCTCCAGATACAAATTCCCTGGACCCGATCACCAACAACGTCATGGAGTTTCATTATGAGCTTGCTGCTGATCTAGCCCTCATTTCGTGGTGCAGACGTTACGAAGTCGAACTGAAGCACAAAGATGATACCTGGAGAGTGCGCTTGTTGCTCAGAAAACTTAGTACAACGGAACACACGGTATTCCAACTTCATTCTGTCAAAGAACACATGAGCTCGTGGATTTGACAAAACGGTGCATCAACTCTCAAACATTTTCGGTGAGCGTTCGTCTTTGTTTAATATTCGCTATCGACGTACGAAACGAGCGAAAAAGGGATCCGAAGACTATATTACTTATGCTTGTAGAGTCGATACTGAATGTGAACAATTCAAGTTATATACCATGACGGAAGACAAGTTCAAGTGTCTTATTATAACACGTGGCCTTCAGTGATATCAGAGCGAGGCTATTGAATAACATTAAACAATCTGCCGAGATAACACTACAGTCTGCTACTTTCGAGCGCCAGCACCTCTTGAATATCAAACACGACACGGCCATGTTGGGGAGATCAATACCCAACAGTGCACTCAGTATTGCCAAGACGACTTCGAAGCAACCTCCCGCGGCGGCAAATTCAAACGGGCATACTGACAATGCGGCGAAAGGCATTTTGTGCGATTGTGTCCCTATAAAAAGAACAAATGTTCAGCGTGTAATCAACGTGGGCACAAAGGAATCCAGCGCCGGACGAGGAAAACTAGTCGAAGAGGAAGCCAAACCCGGAGGTAACGAACAGACGGACCCCGCAGAAACCCGATTTAACGCAGTACTTGCCAGATGTGGTAACCAGGCCGGTGCTTCTCGCATGTTACAATCAAGGCAAACGGAAGCACAATTCGATGTCATCTAGATACAGCTTTTGACATCACTATTGTTTCCCAGCGCACCTGGAAGAGTGGACTGACAATGAACACATCCAGAAATGCTTCAGGAGGTGAGCTCTATTTGCTTGGTGAATTTGATTGCGAGACGCAGATAGCAGATCACCGTGATCGCGGTATTGCCAGTCTTGCTACTTGTGAGCTGAACCTCCTGGGTATAGACTGGATCGATCATTTGCATCCTTCAGCAATGTTGGTCGACAAATTATGCATATCAAAACCAACTCAAATCTTGAGTTTATGGAGCCTGTAATCTGGTCTATGCCGCTATTTTACGACTACAACAGAAAATGATGACAATAACAGTCTTAGATGCTACTCGAAAGCGAAAGCGTTGCTTCCTCTGCGCCCAAACTTCCAGCCAATTTCCAGACCCAAAAGGCCAGTGTCATACACAAGTTTATCAATTTTCGGTGCCAAACTCAAACGTCTTGAAGATGCCGGAGTCCTGAAACCGGTGGTTTACTCCTCATGGGCAGCGCCAGTCGTGGTTGTCAAAAAAAACCAAAGAATGTTGTGTGTATCTGTGCCGTCTACAGGTCTGAGTGATGCCTTGGATAATCATCATTATTCATTGCCCTTACCTGACGGTGTCTGTGTCAACATAAATGGCGATACGTATTTTGCAAAGTCGGACCTTTCAAAAGCCTACTTAAAAATTGAAGTCTCAGATGGATCCAGATTTTTCATGGCGATTAATACGTACCGCGGCCTATTCCAATAAAATCGACTGCCATTCGAATTGAAAACTGTGCCAGCAATCTTCCAGCAGATTATGGACACGATGCTGTGTGATCTGACCGGAGTTGCCCCATACCTTGACATAATCGTCGTGGTGATGATGATGATGAATCGTCGTGGGGGTCCGGTTGGACGCCCCTTCAAAGGATAATGATTACGTCTTCCGGGTAAAGAGAGGAAAATGTGAGTCACCCTTGAGTTCCGTGACCGTCGACCCGACCCGTCAAATATTGACACAATTGCGAGAATGCCCCACCATCGAATGTTGCTGAGCTCAAGTCTTTTTTGGGTTGATTAGTTAACACAGCGCCTTCCTGCCAATTATGAATCGTTTGCGCGAACACTTCAACTTGCTTTTGACCAGAGGATGTGGTTAGGGTTAGTCACGCGAACGTCGAATTGTATTGGAGGAACTGAAGAGCCTGTTGCAGTCTGATCTTCTACTCACGAACTTCAACCTCCAGCTGTCTATTGTTCTCACAACTGACGCACCGAATCATGGGATTGGTGAAGTCATAGCTCATACATTCCCCGATGATACGTAAAAGGCGAACACTCAAGCGGCAAGTTCGCTAGCTACAGCTGAACGGAATTACGGTCAGATTGAGAAAGAAGCGCTGGCCATCATTTGTGGGATGAAGTTCCACAAAATGCTTCACAACCGACACCTCACGCCTGTGATGGATCACAAACCACTTTTGGATATATTTGGTTCCAAGAATGGTATCCTGGTGTACACAGCCAACCCGCTACAATGATGGGGCACGATTTTGTTTGGCAACAGCCTTGCCATAACGTATGCCTCAACAAAGAAAATTGGGCAGGCCGATGGGCTCATGCGCTTGATTGCTTCAGATGAGTTGGAACCAAAAGACACCGTCATAGTGACCGTCGCCATCAAACCAGATGTCCGTGCTGTTGGGTTGGAGACCATGAACAAACTACCCGTGACTTTTGGTACGGTTCGCGATGCCACCAAGAATGAGAGTGTACTACAGAAGGCAACAAAGTGTTACCAAACCAACTGGCCAAAAACTTGCTCATCAGGAGAACTCCGGTAACTTTTCCAATAATGGAGTTCATTATTTGCTGTCAGTGGCTGTCTTCTCATTGGTGACCGAACCGTCGCTCTCACCAAACCTCGCCACCGGATCCTAGCACAGTTCCACAATGGAATTCCAGGGATAAGCCGCATGAAGTTCCTCACTCGCAGTCATGTTTATTGGCCCGGTATGGATGAGCACGTGAAGCAGGTATGCCGGAGTCGTTTCCCAGAAGTTACCCGACCGACGGTAGCCACAGCCTTGCACACAACCAGGAAAAACATGATCGTGAATCCATGTGGATTTTGACATCATCATCATCATCATCAATGACAGCAACATCAGTGTTGGCACTGATGCTTCACTGCCGTACAACCATAAAGTTCGTTTATATATATATATATATATATATATATATATATGCATTAAAAGCCCTACAGAGAAGAGAAGAGAAAAAGAGTGGGTGAGGGAGAGGACCTAGTGCTGGCCTATGTCAAGCATACTGAGGTGCCTACACCTCCAACCGCTCAATCAGACAATCTGGAAAGAAAC